ATATGCACATAGGGTAATAATGTTCGATTCATCTACTATCATTCCTACACCCATGCCCCCTTCATTCCCCTCTGTCTACTCCAAATTACCTCTCTTCTCCCCTCTATCCCCATTGTGAATTAGCATCCACATATCAGAGAAAACATTCAGCCTTTGGTTCTTTGGGATTGGCTTATTTCACTTAGCGTAATATTCTCCAGTTCCATCCATTTACTGGCAAATGCCATAATTTCATACTTTAAAGCTGAGTAATATTCAATGTGTATACATGCCACAGTTAAAAGCACAATTTTATATTTATAAAATACTTCAGTTTATAAAACCTTTTCCAACATATCATTAATACATTCAGTACTCATAGAATCCTTGAGATTTAGAAAGAGCATATATTGTCGTATCAGTTCCACAGATAAAAAACAGGCTATATGACTTGTTCACAGCCACATAATTAATACATATGAGTAGCAGAACTAAAGCTCAGCACTGCTTTCTCTCTCATACTCTAACATATTGGGAAAGGAAACTAGGCTTCAAAATGACCTTGAAAAACGAGAAATGTCTTGAAACTCAAAAACTGAAATTCATTAGTGTAAAAATACAAGCCAGGACAATTAAGAAAAATAGAAAAAATGCACAATCAGGAATGGCTTTTGTGAATTTAGCAGAAAAATGATTTAGGATTGACATTCTGTAGTTATAATAAAAACGAAAAACCACATTACCAGAATTCATTGAAGTAATATAAACTGGGGATAGCACAGAACACTGGTTAAGAGTTCTATGATCCCAGTTGGGTACAGTGGCACACATCTATAGCCCTGTCTCCTCAGGAGGCTGAGGCAGAAGGATCACAAATTCAAGGCCAGCCTGGGCAACTTAGCAAGACCCTGTCACAAAATAAAAAAACAAAGGGGCTGGTAGTGTAGCTTGGTGGCAGAGCACTCCTGGGTTCAAGCCCCAGTACTGCAATTAAAAAAAAAAAAAAAAACTGAATAGTAGTACTGATTCCTGGTGTCAAGCTGTGGGATATAGTCCTGGCTTTACTACATATACTTATGGACCTAGGCAAATTATTAAACTACTGAGACTCAGTTTCCCCATCTGTAAAATGGGAAATAGTAATAATACCTACTCCCAGAGTAGTGAAGATTTAATAAATTCTTTAGAGCTGTATATGTGGCTCTTCATTTTTTCATTTATAGAATAGGGATAATTGCAGTAACTGCTGCCTGCAAAAGTTAAGATTTAATGATCACTCTATACCTCTGTAATGGCTCATAACTCAATTGTATGAACTTGGCCTTCTCCCCTTTTCATCTTTCTACTCCCTCTATTGTATACTATAATTGAATTCTCAATATTTAAAACTCTTGAGGCTCTTTCTACAGATTTTGAAGCAACCTAAAGGATTGACAGTTTTAAGGAATAGTAAAATGAGAGACTTTGAGAAGAGTGAAATTAATATTTATTTAATTCACTAAATAAATATTTAATTAATTAATAATTATTTAATTTACTGAATATTAATTTAGCATGCACTAAATACTACATTAATTCTCTTTCAGCCTCACAGCAACTATTTTTAACCTTTTATTTTAGGTGTAGTTGGACACGATGCCTTTATTTTATTTATTTATATGTGGTGCTGAGGATCGAACCAAGGTCTTGCACATTCTACCACCCAGCCCCTTAACCTTTTATTTTAAAGTAACTTTAGTCTTAGAAAAATTGCAAAAATAATCAGAATTCCCATATATCTTTCACCTACCTTCCCCCAATGATAACATCTTATATAACCAATGTACTATGACCAAAACCAGAAAATTAACATTGGTACATTGCCACAATCTAAACTATAGGCTTTATTCTGATTTCACCAGTTTTTCTTTATACTTGCTTTTTCTGTTCTAGAATCTTATCCAGTATCCCACATATTTTCTTAGTCTCTTCTGGTCTGTGACAAATTCTCACTCTTGCCTTGTTCATGACCTTGATACTTTTGATGCGTCATTTTTTTTAATATTTATTCTTAAGTTTTAGGTGGACACAGTATCTTTATTTTACATTTATGTGGTGCTGAGGATCAAACCCAGTGCCTTGTGCATGCTAGGTGAGCACTCTACCACTGAACCACAACCCCAGCCCCCTGGGCAATCATTTTGATGAGCCCTGAGCCCTTAATTTCAATTTGTCTGATGATTTCTCAAAGATTAATCTGAAATTATGTATTGTTGGCAGGAAAACCACAGAATTGTTTGCCTTTTATCTTTATTAAATGAGAACTATATTTAATCATAAGCAAAAATTCTATAGTAGTAAATTATATTTGTGCTAGGATGGTGCCCTATCTATGTCTTATAGTTTGTATGAGCATCAAATGTATTAATGATAGGTTGAGAAAAGTTTTATAAACTGTGAGGCATTTTATAAATGTAAAGTTGTGCTTTTATTGTCACTGGTGATAACTTCTCAGTGTATCAAGTCAGAGAGGTAAACACTGTGACATTATCTTACTGCTGGTGACGTTAACCTTGATCTCTGGACAAAGGTGGTATTTGCTGTTTTGTCCTGTAAAGTTACTACTTTCTCATTGCCATTAATAAGGTGAAGTGATGTCTGTCATTTTTCTTCACTGTAACATTACTACTTTTCCTTTTGTAATCATTAAGTATATTAAGAGGAGCTTTGGTGCTAGGGATTGAACCCAAGGCCATGTGCATGCTGAGCCCATACTTTACCACTGTGCTAGACCACCAGCCCTAACATCTTATAACTGAATATTTTCTTAGTTTTGTTGACAAGTAAATAGAATCTTAGAGACTTACTAACCTACTCAAAGTCACGTAAATAATGTCTAGTTCTGTCATAGTCTAAAATGTCTTGTAATTTCACTATTCTGTGAAGATGTGTGAACTTAAATGTGAAGAAGAACCTAAAGAGGGTGGAGAAGGGGAAGATACTATAGAACCAGAAATATGTAGCTTTGGGAAAATAAAATAAGGTTTTGAGAAAAGTTTTTTTACTTGAGGAGAATCAACTCTTGAGAGCAAGCAATGGCTCCTCAAGGCATAATGAGAATTTTAGATTAGATGCTTTCTGACAGTGATCCCAGAGTACGTGACAAAGGGATTGTGCATAAACTGTAGATGTGAATACAAACAGAATGAAGTTTACATAAATCTGAAAAGATATATGTTTTGCATTTGGGAAGTTTATTTCACTCTTGAATTGACATTATGGTAGATTGAATTCAAGACATAAGAAAAGTTTCTTTGATTAAATTACCAAGGACCCATAACAAACTCTGTCTTACCACAGGGTTGGCAGAAAGCAACCATGGAATTACATTCTTAATTTATTCCTTATACTACCTTGAAGAAAGACTTCCATTTAAAAAAAAAAAATCTGGGTGCAGTGTTTCTTAATGGGTAGTCCTAGCTACTCAGGATGCTGAGGCAGGAAGATCACTTGAGCCCAGAGTTCAAGGCCAGCCTGGGCAACATTAGCCAGTCCCTGTCTTAAAATCAAAAATATCTAGTACATGCATAAGACTCTGTTCCCAAGACAATAAAGTGAACCTGCCTCTTTATTAAATAAGAACTTTATTTAATAAGCAAAAATCTTATAGCAGTAAAATATATTTGTGTTCTCCTGATAGAATTTATGTGAGTCATATTAATGTGTACACTTATTTGATAGAGTGAAGACATTGTTAATATATGGCATTTTTGTTCCTTTCAACTGGAACAAAATTATTTCTAATAGTCTGTCACCAAAAACTCAGGGATTTTTTTTTTTATCTTATCAGAGTCAGGCTTAGTTCTATTATAAAATAAGCAACTGAAAGCAAAAATAGTCAGCATGTTTGAAAGGTCACCGGCACTGTCCTACTATAAGTGACTTCTTTTCAGAAAACAGCCCTCTGGAGGTCATTCTGCTAGGTGTATTAGAAGTTCAGCTTCATATATTATCTGGACTGTCTTAAGTATTTAAGGAGCAAACAAGAAATATTTTACTACAGATTATCACACCCTTAAAAATGTCATACTTTCTGATGTTATTTGTAACCATTATGGCTTCTCTTGTTCCTACTTTTTCTCCCACCTATATCTTGTTCTTTCTGTCCCATGTATACTTCACTTATGCCACTCTCATTTTCCCTCTGGTTTGTTTCTTTCTCTATAACTATTTTAACGTTTGCACAGCATTAGAGGAAACTACTAACAACATAATCCATGAACAGTTTTGGAGGTCCACTAAAATCAGACATGGATTTTTAAAGTATCTAAAATGGTTGAAAACATGCTTTTTAAGACTCTGCTTTTAATTCAAAAGTTAGATTTCAAGTCAGAATGTTTATGATATTGAGATTCATGGTCTATATGGTGTGAAAAAGAGCATCAGGGTTTAAGAATTCATTTCTAGTATTTTTAAATTTCTGTCTCAAAGAAAAATCTTTATGGAAAAAGGTTAACATTTCTTTCTCTCATTCAATATTTTGAAAAATTTGGCATCATAACAATCGCATTATGTGCAAAGTCACCAAAATTGTGTTCCGTAAGCTTCTAAAATAATTATATATTCTTATACTTTTTTAAAAAAAAATCTCCTCTTAATTGAAATTTGAAAACTGGGCATTTGCCAACATTAAGGAATTATTGTTAATTTTTAAAGTATATTATAGTTTTGTGGTTATAGTTCAGTCATTATTTTTAAGACAGATAAAATTATACAGTGCTTGTTAAGTTTGCTTCAGAATATGAAACACAGGTAGCTAAAGATATACATGAAATAAGCTTTATTGCATGTTTAAAGTTTTGAAGATTGATGATGGATTCTTCAGAAGTTATTGTGCTCTTCTGTTTACTTTTGTATATGGTTAATTTTTCTAAAATGTCTCCTAATAGATACTCAGGTCCCATCAGAAAGAAAATTTTTCCTCTACTAATAAAGTTTTTATTTCTTGATTACAAGAATGTTTTTCTCCTTTCTATTAATAGACTAAAGACATTAAAGAAATAGCCAGAAGGACACAAGCTCTGCCAAAAGTGAACTCGAAGAGGCAGCGAATCGTGGTCTTCACTCAAGGGAAAGATGACACTATAATGGCTACAGGTACATGTTGAAACTGTGTGACAAATCAGTATTAGAGTAAAATTCTTTATTCTTTTTATAATAATGTAGTCACAACAATGTATCTTTTAGAATTTTTCATTTTAATAAATATTTCTACTTCTATCTCAGTTAAAAAAAAATTTATTTTCAGGAAAGTAATTTACTAAAATTCAGTTCGATAAAACCACATTGACCTGGGTGTGGTTGCACATGCCTATAATCCCAGCAACTCAAGCTGAAGCAGGAGGATTGAAATTTCCAGCCTCAGCAATTTAGCGAGGCCCTAAGCAACTTAGCAAGATTCTGTCTCAAAATAAAAATTAAGAAAAATTGGGAATATGGCTCTGTGGTTGTTAAGCACCTTTGGGTTTAATCCCTTGTACCATAAAATAAAATAAACCATATTAATATACTGTATTAACTTTGATATATTAGAGATTTCATTAGTCTAGAATTGTCTTTCCTTAAAAATGAATACATTTTACTTAAAAAAATTTACACTAAAATAAATAAAATTCAGAAATGTTAGTTTCTCATATTTTCCTTCTAGAAGAAAATCTCATATTTGTTTTTATTTAGCCACATATTTCATAGCATTCATAGAAATAAACTAGGAATTTCATCTAGTGTACAAACATTTTATTGGGTAACATGATTAATAGTGTCAATGTGATGCTACCTACTGTTAATGCCAAAATTAAAACCTTTTAATTCTGTCTGAACCATTCAGATTAAAACCAGTTAATTAATGATTATTATAAACAGTAATAATTATTACCTTTGTGTTTGTGTAGTACACAGCTGAACATTGAAATATATGATTCTTAAAGATCTAACTCGGGGCTGGAGTTGTGGCTCAAATGATAGAGCATTTGCCTAGCACACATAAGGCACTAGGTTCGATCCTCAGCACCACATAAAAATAAATAAATAAATAAAAAGTATTGTGTCCATCTAATTTATATATAGATAGATAGATAGATAGATCTAACTGGGAAATGAAGTTAATACACATAAAACATGAGTAAAAAGTATAATCATACTTTTTATTTATGGGGACAAACTATATGAATTGTATTGACTCGGAAAGGAAGGTCAGTAAAACCTGAAGAAAGATATTATAGCACAAAGGAAGTGTATTTTTGATGAATCAAATTACAGAGCCTGAAGAGTCAAAGATGAATTTACTGTTCAATCTTGAAGCAAAGGTACCCTGGAAATAATTAATTCTTTCTTATTATAGAATTGTGAAAAATAACATTCAGAGATTTGCTTCAAAATAATTCAGTGAGCAGTAGATGGTGAAGTAGAGATACTGATGAAAAGAGGCTGGTCATGAGTTCATTGTTGAAGCTGGACAGTGGACATAAAATCAGTCAATTATGTTCTTATCTCTGTATATATGTTTGAAATTTTTCATTATTAAAATGTTTTTTAAAAAAGTAAAAAATAGAATTCAAGCAAGATTGAACAATGTTAAATGGTTTTCCCAAGATAAATTGATATCTTTACTAAACCTTTAATTGCAAGAGGGATTTAAAGAAAGGTGGGCAATAGCAAGACATGATGGTGGCATGCCTATAATCCCAACTACTGTGGAGGCTAAGGCAGGAGGAATACAAGTTTGAGGATAGCCTGGGCAATTTAGCAAGATCCTATCTCAAAATAATAAAATAGAAAGGATTGAGAATGTGACTCCTAGTAGAGTACTTGCTTAGCATTCATGAGGTCCTGGGTTTAATCCCCAGTACTGCAAAAAGGAAACATTCCAAAGAGGCTTATGTAAGCAAAGGCACCAGGGTACTATGCAAACTTTTATTGTTTTGGCAGGAAAAGCCACAGTTGTTAATTTGTATGAGAGAGAAGACATAAACCTTGATAGGATATCCCTGCCTTGATACAAACTATCTGAATTGCCATTTTCCTATATAGTATGGCCATTTCATGTCTTAGCAATGAACGGTTTAGAAAAGTAAAAAACATGCAGTCTTCTCATAGGAACTATCGGTTTAGAAAAGTGAAAAACATGCAATCTTCTCATAGGAAATATAGTTCCACCTTCAGCTTCATAAAATGCTATTAGGTTGCTCTTTATGGAGACGTTCATTTGAAAGCTTTCTGCATTCCAGATATACGTATCATACAAGTTTTTTTCTTCATTATGAATTTGCACCATTTTACCAGAATGGAAAATTATCCTTCCCATCTTGCGACTGAATTTCCTTCAGAACTTATTTTATTCTTTATTAAATCTATTAAACCATTCTTAAGAAAGCTTACAATCAGAAATTTATTTGAGGCAAGACACTGGCTAATCTTTGCTCTTCCTACCATATGAAAATGAACTGAAATTAGAGGATGCACTATATCTGCAATGCATGATAAATACAAGATGGATAGAGAATCTGTTCAGTGGTGTCAGCTACAAAAGCAAACATGATAAATGTTAATGCAGTTTTGAGCCTTGGGATAAGCTATTCAGTGCACAAGCAGAGCTGAATCTCTTTGCTATGTTGTTATTCATGGCAGCCAAATAAATGTCAATAATAAAAGAGAATTAAAGATTTTCATTTCCCAGAGGCAGTCCTCTAATACGGCTTGATCTTTCATTTCATTTGTAATTCGTTCTCATGTCAGGATGCAATCATTCGCCAGGCTCTGGGTGTCATGTTAAGTCATTTAATAATGATTAAGAACATAAAAATGCTTGGCCTGTAGGGCAATTCACAGAAGAGATGCCAATTTGTTATTGTTTTCCCTCCTTTCCTCTTGAATATGGATCAGCTTTTTCCCACCTCCTAGCATTAAAATACTAATGGAAGATAGGGAGGGAAAGTGTCCCTTAATTTTCCATAAGTGACATTCCAGAATGGCACAAGGCAGTGCTAAGACACTTATTAAAACACTAATTAGGAGTATTGTGCCTTGCCTCACACTGTAGAGTATTTTTAAACGATCACACTGTTAAGTTTGTGGCATTTAGCAATAATGTTAATGTTAACAAAATCAGTTTCCTTAGTATTTTATTCTAAAGACCTATCTCATATTGAGATATGGTTTTCTGTAAACCACTTTCTTTTATAAATTTAATTATTTAAATTCTTCTTATTTAAATAGTCAGCAAATTTAGAAAGTTTTCCACTCACCCTGTTTTACTGCTCATCTCTCTTTCAGATTGGGTTTCCATCCAGCTCAAAGGTTCTGTTGTATATCAATCTTTGTTTCAGTGCTTACAGGCTAATTGAGTTCCCAGATTTATTTGAGGGAAGGCTAGGCACTGGAGACTAGTGAGAGTAAAAAGGTAGGCAACTGCACTTTGGGTTATATGCCTAAAGAAATTGAAAGCAGGAACTTAAACAGGAATATATGCACCCATGTTCGTAGTGGTATTATTCATAGAAGCCAAAGAGTAGAAACAAACCCAAGTATCAATCTACAAATTAACGGATAAACCAAAAATGATATGCATGTATACACTCATTGGCATGTGGACACACACATACACATTTATATTTACAATGAAATATATTTAATCTTAAAAAGGAAATTCTGATACATGCCATAATGTTGATGAACCTTGAAGACACTATAGTAAGTAAAATAAGCCAGCTTCAAAGGAAAGTATTGTTTGATCCTACTTACATGAGATATTTAGAGTAGTCAAATTTTTAGGGACAGTGGAACAGTGTTAGCCAAAGGCTAGGGTAGGGAAGAATGGAGATTTATCATTTAATGGATATAGTGTTTCAGTTTCTCAAGATGAAAAAAGTTGTAGAGATTAATGGTGATGATCTTTATATAGCAATATGAATATACTCAGTTGCTGTACACTCATGAATGATTAAAATGATAAATTTATTAGGTATATTTTACCACAGTTCAAAAGACATTTAATATATCAAACAGATTAAGAGGTTGGGAATGAAGGCAGAAAATAAAAGATGACTATTCATTTTGATCCTTTTAATAAATGTTAAATAAGCCTGTTTATTAACATGGGAGCCAAGTCAAACAAATAATTTCTGTGTCTATAAACTTTAGAAAAACTAAGACTAAGCTAATGGGCAGAAACCTAATAAGATCCTCATACTTTAATGCCTTATTATATTGCAGACTGTTGTAAAAAAAAGCATGATTTTACACACACAAACATATGTACATATAGATATATGTATATATACATATGTGTGTGTGTGTGTGTGTGTGTATATATAGTACTTTATAGAAAGTTTAAATTTCTCCAAGTTTCTGTAATAAATATATCACTAATAATTGGAAAAAGCAATAGGACTTTTGTTCTAAATAGAAAATAATGCATTTCACACCATGGCTGTTATGAAACAGTAATAGGTCCACTGAAGAATAAATTATAGTCTCTTCTCTTTTGAGTACTTTCATAATTCTTTCTGGGCAATCTGAATTGTAATTTTGCACAAAGGAAGAAAATATGTTAGGTCAGAGTTTTTAAGTGGAAGTAAGTCTATTGCTATCCTATCAAAATTACCTGTGAGTTTTTCGTAAATACAGTCCTGCCTTGTTAAATCACTTCTCCTCAATCTGCGCAGCATTAAAATAGACATTCTCAAGGAGATGTATGGAAATGTTGATGGGGGAAGAGAAGTATAGTGCTGTGTATTTGTTGAAAAAGTTCCCTTATAATGATATAGCAATGTTGTCTATTTGCACGTCTCACTTTGAGAATCATTCAGTTAGGTGATTTGATAATGTTGCCAATCTTTATCGTACTATGGATGATGAAAACTAACTAAATATCTAGTTCTTCAGTAAGTGAGGCCTTGGTACATGTTTCTCTTTCTTATCCTGTCAAAAAGTATCAAGGGCTCATTGACTCTTACAGGTGATCTACAGATTAAATAGCCCCCAACTTCAAGACAGTTCTAATTTAACATAGTCTTATCACAGTGTACTGTGTCATTATAAGTAAATAATGGTATCAAAGTTACTTGTGTTCATGTTCCTGGTACTTTAAAAACTTGTTA